GACAAACCTAGACAGCATCTTAAAAAGCAGAGACATCACCTTGCCGACAAAGGTCCACATAATCAAAGCTATGGTTTTTCCAGTAGTGATGTATGGAAGTGAGAGCTGGATCATAAAGAAGGCTGGCCGCTGAAGAATTGGTGCTTTTGAATTGTGGTGCTGGAGGAGGCTCTTGGGAGTCCCCTGGAGTACAAAAAGAAGAAACCTACGCATTTTGAAGGAAATCAATCCTGAGTGCAAACTGGAAAGACAGATCCTGAAGCTCAGGCTCCAATACTATGGCCATCTCATGAGAAGACTCCCTGGAAAAGACCCTGATGTTGGGAAAGTGTGAAGGCAAGAGGAGAAGGGGATGACAGAGGATGAGATGGTTGGACAATGTCATTGACACTACCAACATGAATTTGACCCAACTCCAGGAGGCAGTGTAAGACAGGAAGGCCTGGCATGCTCTGGTCCATGGGGTCATGAAGAGCCGGGCACAACTTAATGACTAAACAACAAAATCTTTATTTACACTTATTTTAGATGCTATTCTTTATCATATGTCAGGCCAGTTATTGAATTAATGTTGTAATTCTCAAAAGGAATATTACTCATTCAGTAGAAATGGTGTGAGATATTTTGCTGAGCTTTCTATTACCCCACATGATGTTCTTTATTTACTCTTATTTTAGATGCTATTCTTTATCATGTGTCAGGCCAGTTATTGAATTAATGTTATAATTCTCAAAAGGAAAATTACTCATTTAGTAGAAATGGTGTGAGATATTCTGCTGAGCTTTCTATTACCCCACATGATGTAGCATACCTGTTTTACTCCAGCTCCTTCTGTAGATCGAAGCAAAAAACCACCACTGGATCGGTCTGCACCACCATTTGACCGGGATCTCCTCGGAGCAGGTTAGCATTTATTTATGGCCATAGCTGTTTAATACTGTCATGTTCTTGCCTGTCCATTAGTTGTTTCACCAAGCAAAGAGCACAAGCCACATGTCATGATTGTTTATTTATTTTATTGGACTTCTACCCTGCCCATCTAGACCAAAGGTCTACTCTGGGTGGCATTACAAATTTAAAAACAGTTAAACCAATAAATATATACTATAAATCCAAGATGGCAAAATGTAAATTTAAGATACGGAAGGAGGGAAAGCCTGCCCAAATAGCCAGGCCTTGACTTTTCTTCTGAATACACCCAGAGAGGGCGCTGGGTGGATCTCCATGTGCAGGCTGTTCCAGAGGCGAGGGGCCACTCTGGGTGGCATTACAAATTTAAAAACAGTTAAACCAATAAATATATACTATAAATCCAAGATGGCAAAATGTAAATTTAAGATACGGAAGGAGGGAAAGCCTGCCCAAATAGCCAGGCCTTGACTTTTCTTCTGAATACACCCAGAGAGGGCGCTGGGTGGATCTCCATGTGCAGGCTGTTCCAGAGGCGAGGGGCCACTGCCAAGAAGGCGCTGGGTGGATCTCCATGTGCAGCTTGTTCCAGAGGCGAGGGGCCACTGCCAAGAAGGCCCAGTTCCTCATTCTTTTCTTCCGGACTTCCCTCAGTGTATCTGGTGACTCTGCCTCTCCAGCACTCTCATTGGTACATGCAGATAGCTCATTAATATTCATGACCTGGGCAGACACTCCAAGTACTTTGTCCACTGTATGAAGAAACTAATGATGAGGCTGGCAAATATATGTTGTGGGCTGTCATGAACGAAGTGTGATCTGAAAACTCGAGTTCCACAGAGTTGTTGCAAGGTTATTATGGACGAATAATTTGCAAGATGGGTTGAAACTGAAAAATACCTCTGAAAATTGTGGGTTTACAGGAAGATCTTTTAGAATGTTCAGGAGCTTTCATTTTGAAATCGGCTGAAAAACCAAGTAAAGGTCAGAGGGGGATTTAACCAAGGAAAAGCATAACTGAGGGCAAAATATATTAATTCAATGTAGAGATGGTCATGAACCTCAGTTTGGAGGTTCGTACTGGTTCGCTTGCCTCCATGGCCAATGACCCATTCACAAGCCGGAGTGTGCTTCGCTGGTCCTCTTTGGCTGTTCAGCCAGTCTCCAGCAGGAGCATGGGCATCCCTATTTGAGCAGGCAGCCTCAGCCAAGGAGAGGGGGCAGGGAAGCCGGTGCTCCTGCTGGGGACTGGCTGAACAGTCAAAGAAGAGGAAGAGGAGAGTGCATGCTGGCTGTTGAGTGTGGAAATCCAGCTGGATAGGTGGGGGGGATGGAACATGCAGCACCTGTGGTGCCACACTTACAAACCAGCACAAACCATGAAACCGAGGTTCATGGCCATCTATAATTCAAAGTAACATTTCAAATGGGGCTTCATCATGACACATCGCAAGAAAGAGAAATCGAACACTATTTTAAAAAAATTAAAAAGACAAATGCCAGCAATTATGCAGTACAGTATATACACTTGAACGACTCAATAGGTTTCAAGTAATTTGTTTAGTATTCAGAAGGTTGAAAACTTCCCTCCAACCTTTGTGAGATACACATTTCTAAATGAATTAGTTCAGTCTAGCATGCAGTAAGTTTGAAATGTTCTGTCTTCACCAGAGAGTACTACTGTATAGCATTCCACATCTGAGGAAAGAAAATAAATAGTGTTCAGGCAAAAAGACGTTTCTGTCCCCAGACTTTCCAAATTTAAGGCAATAGGATTCACTGAATAGTCAATGACCTGCTTCCTCTGTGAAAAGTACAAAAATAATTTAACCCAGCTGGGCACCAGCTACGAGCCATTGAGATACCTTTGGGTTGCACCTTGCACAATCCATCACTATTACCTATGTTGGGTAAGGTTGATGGAGATTGTAATTCAACAACAACTGGAGGGCCACAGTTTGCCTGATTTAAATCCAGAATGTAGGAAAGTTATTTTATTCCAGCCACAAATACTATAATTCATGGATAGTCAATTCTGAGAACTATAGTCCAAACAAGGGTTCCTGTGCCTGGCATCATCTGTTGTAGCAATAGAGCTGCCCTGACAACAGGTGGAGGAATAACCCAAGGATTCTGTGTTGTAGGTAAACACAGAATCCTTGGGCTATTCCTCCACCTGCAGCCTTCATTCTTTAAGTATGAAGGACTGAAAATAAGGTCATTGTGTAACTGCTTAGACAAGGAGTTTAATTTTTAGATCTCTGTACTCAATCCCCTAAAAATAAGCTCTAATGCATTTTTTGGAGCAAAAATTAATATATGACCCAGTCTTATTTTTGGGGAAACACGGTAGCATTATTTCATAACGTATTTTGTGCAAAATACAAGGGATATTTTAAAAATGTAAAACAACCGTTTTTTGGCAAAACAAACACTTTAACTTATTTTTTTGTAAGAGGATTTCCAATATGTGAAAAAGTAGAGAAAAACTCTCATTATCTCATCCAGTGGGGAGAAATCTTTGGACTCCCCCCCCTTCCCTGTGAGAATGAAATGAGAGAAGATCTATATCCTTACTGGGGATGCAACAGACCTACAGCATGTGAGGTAAAATATGAATATAGCTGATGTTTTCTGCTTATGCAAGAAGAAGGTTTATTTCACAGATTTGCCACATATTTGTGCCTTCTGTGCAATAATAGGCTGGCAAACATTTCTGTAAGTAACACCGTGCCACTCTGTTAAGCAATTCATAGTTAAACAAATCAGTATGATCTTCACTGCTCACAATCAAGCAGAGTTGACTAATGTTATTCACGTTTGGTTGTTCTTAGGCAAAAGATCATATCCTGAAATGGTAAGAGAGTTCTTTGTTAATACAAAATCACAATCCATTTTTTGAAATGTGTTTATCCGTCCTTTAAATTTGTACTCCTTTTCTTGCAGTCTTTGGCCCCACAGCTCAGGTAAATATTGAAGTATTTTCTGACCTAAGTTGTGAAAATTGTCCCCTTAGCCTGGCGTGTGAAGAAGAGTTTGCCCTCATGGTGCTATTATCCTTTTCATTTGTTTGTTTCAGGTCTCTCGGAGCAGAATTAGCAAAGATACAGAAACCTCCTGTGCCATCCACAGAGAGATGTGAAAGGAACAACCCTCCCTCTAGAAAGAAACAACCACCTATGAAGTAAATTGTCCACATAATTATTAAAGGAACAGTATAAATACTAAAAAGTGGAATATTCAGATCTGCACTTTCCAGTGAGGGGGCCTGGCTAGTTCTGCCTGTGTAACAAAAATTAAAACCAATGTATTTGGGCTCCTTGAGGACTGACTTTATTTTACAGTGAGCATCTGTAGATTACAGTCCACTTGCTTGAAATGAGAAGTGGACAATGAACCATGAAAGCTCACACTGAAATGAATCAGTCTTTTAGGTATCACAATTCTCATTTTCCCCCACAACCTCATACTGTTTTGGAATTGCTATCCCATTGATCAGGGCGCCCTCTAGTGTTGTTTTGCGAGAACTCTGAAAAACCAGGGTCCTCGTTTTTCAAGGAGTCAACCACCCAACTAGAAAACAAAATCCAGGCTAGCAACATGGTACAGATTAGATGTGACAGCACCACAGTGCTTATGTTGTTCTAAATAAAGTTGCAGAGAAGTGCTGCACTTCAGTGCTTCCTTTTAAACCCGCTACCCTTGCTATTTTCTCCGTGCCTGCCTGTGGCTGCTGTAGTTTTTAGTTTGCCATGTGGTTCCTTTCCAAAGAGGAAGAAAGCCGAGGACTCCCACTTTCAGTTTACTGAGAAGTTATTTTGCAATATTGGGTGGGTTAATTGCATGCAGAGTGATGTGCAGGCAAAAAGCAGAGATTTAGCTCCCAGCCATCTTCTTGTTCCTCTACCATGGGAGAGGAAAAAGTCATCACATAGCTACTTTGACTTTGGATTCAGGAGCTGTAGTCCGCAGAATCATGTTCCATTCAAAACAGTCTCCAAGATTCTTCAGCCAACAAAGTCTTCTTCTTCCTGTTCTCCCACCCCCATTAATTTTATATCAAATGATTAGCTCTTACCATCTGTACTTTTCATTTCTCATTATATGACTGATGTATTCCTGCTTTTTGAATTTTTAATTATGTCTTCTTGGTATTCTAAAAGGCTTTCATGGCTGGGATTTGATGGCTGTTGTAGGTTTTTTGGGCTGTTTGGCAGTGTTCTGGAGGTTTTTCTTCCTAACGTTTTGCCAGTCTCTGTGGCTGGCATCTTTAGAGGAGAGGAGCTAGAACTCTATGTTCTTGGTCTTTATTCTTTCACCTCAACACTAAAAAGAAAAAAAGTAATTTGATCACATTGTGCACCTGTATGTGTTCCTTCTGCAGAACCTTTATACATAAAAAAAAATTCACCTGGAAAAAAACTGATAAGTTGACTACTAAACAATCTGAATGAAGGTTCAATGGCATAATCAATGGACAGTGAATGTTAATTCTTAAAGATATTGGCCAAAGTCCTGTTGAGGAAATACAGAATGGAAGGGCATTTTCTCTAATGGGTTGTCTTACATACAACCAGTCATGTAATACTTGCAAAAACCAAGGATGCGATGGACATCCCACTACGGTGGGAAGTGTTTGTACAATTGCACTAGTGTGCACTTTTTCCTCAACAGGAGCCTGGCCACGAAATGTTGTAACTGTCAGTCACAACAATAACAACAGTGTGTGATGGACATCCCACTAGGGGTGGGAAGTGTTTGTGCAATTGCACTAATGTGCACTGTCAGTCACAACAATAACAACAGTGTGCTGTAAACTTAATTTTGACTTACTGTGATCTTTTCCTGAGTTTTCTAGGTATAGAATACATGGAAGTGTTTTACCATTCCCTTCTTCAGGGGAGCCCTCGGAATGTACAGCTTGCTGAATGTTACACAAGCTCACTCTTCTCCTGGGAGGCACAGTAGGGAATCAGACTCCCAACCTCTGGCTTTGCAGCCCTATGCCTAACTTACTGTGCTACCCAGCCAGCCTATATTAATTAACCTTTCCTTTTTGTCTTCTAGGAACAGCCAGATATCTGAAAGAAAAGCCGAAGTAAGTATAAACACTTAAGAAAAGTCTGTTGCAGGCACTGCATTGAGACTGCTACATCTAAATCATAGGTGGTGAATTATTATTTTCAGAGTCCAAATCATTGAATCTCACTATTTCCTTGAAGCAGTTGTCAGGCAGTTCTTGCCACAGGTGCAGATTGTGCTCAGATTTGCCTAATTTCAGTAACTGCTTTCAATAGCAGGTTGCACATGTGGCATTGCCCACACGATCGATGTCCATAGGCAAGCAACAGAGAGCAGAGTGCAGGAGTTTGTCCTGGCCCTGGAGTGGGTTGTAAATAGAGATGGTGGTATTCATATTTGTATACAAATACCCCCACACAGGTGGACATAACGAGGGTTCATCCCCCTGGGGCTGGACCGTCCACTCATCTTCCACTGTTGCTGCAGTCTCTGCACTCCCTCCCTATCGCTCTGGAGCTTGTGGTCTGCAAGCCAGTCCTGGCAGGAGGTGGAAGGACGAGCCTCACTTCAAGGTCGAAGAGTGGTTCACTGACCACAAGCTCCGGAGCGATAGGAAGGGAGCTCAGAGGCTGCAGCAACAGCGGAAGGCAAGTGGATGGTCCGGCCCCAGGGGGCAGGAGCCTTGTTATGTCTACCTATGCAGGGGTATTTGTATACAAATACCCCCATCTCTAGTTGTAAACTAGTTCTAGATGAGTGGGCATGTGATTTGATTTGCAGCTTGAATTACTTTTACAATTGCAATCACTGGGCTATAGATTGATTTGGGAGTCCACCCTTCACATTGGATGTGATATGACTTTCTGATTTAACGCTTCAGGCTACTACATTTCTCAAAAAAAATCCCTGTAGAAAAATAACACAGAAAGGTACTTCACAGTCTAAGAGTAGAAAACACAAAAAGTTTGAACAGTAATTTTGCAGGTCACAATGATTCCATAACAGGCATCTCCACCATCCCATTCCCATTCATTAGTCTTTCCCCTTACTTTCAAGTAATACATGCAGGAATTATTCATCTCTGGTCAGAGTTGATCATGCCATTAGTCTAAAATGTGATGTGAACAGAGATGAAGTAATTCCTGCATGTGTTACTTGTTAAGGGGAAAGAGTAACAAAGAGAAATGTGATTTTAAAGATCTGTCTTTTAAGTAATTAAGAGCATTAAGCTTTTGCTTCACAACAAAAAGAGCCTTCCCCCACAATGTAACAGAATTCAGGACTTACATCAGATCTCCCACATTGAAATCATGGCACTTTGCTTTTGCAAAGGATCTGATTATTCCTCAACTGAAACACCACCTACAAACATGCCCCCTGTCTGTCCAAGAATGTATCACAACCAAGTGCATAGGAAAAAGCCCATGTGAATTGTTCCAGCTTGAAAAAGTAGAAACTCCCCCCCCCCCAGGAGCAGAGAGAGAGAAAAAGGCTCTTTGGGAGCAAAAACAGCTGGACCAATTTCATATTTTTACAGCATGGAGATGGTGTTAAATACAGGATAGCACATACTATACTAATTGTCTCACACATTTTTTCCCTCATAATAACTGCTGGCTGAAATCCTGTTCCATAAGTAAAGCTGTGTAAGTGTGATAATGTATTTGTTTTTTAATCACCACCAGAAATTCAATTCCCCTTCAAAAGTCCCAAGACTCCCTTTCATCATGGTGAAACTACTGGGGGCCATGGGATAGAGAAGTTTCAAATTTCCAAAACTCCCTGACACCAGGATGAATTTATCCGCTATGGCTATTTTTGGAAATTAAAGCCTTCCTCCTTCTACCTCGCAGCCACTAATAGCTTCTCCACAATTAAAGGGATTCCACGGGAACCTTGGACTTTCAGGAAGGGGGAATCAGAAATGTTTCACTGTGGCTGATGACATCAACAGCATAATTTACAGATTCCAACCAATGTGACATACAGTATCTGTGCATTATTTTAGTGTTTGATTTATATTGCAATTATATACTGATGCATTTGTTGTTAAAACTTCAGCTAATTAGCTCACAAATCATGAACTAGACAACATGACTAACATTAGTTTATTTTTTGTTTCTTTCAGATGGACGATGATGGTATGTCATGTATTATCTTTATCGTCATCAAGTGCAATTAGACATACTTAGCTTTCTCACAATTGCAGGAATTAAACTGTTTCCAGGATTGTATTCATTGACCTAAAGCTGTGCAGAATGTGATTGGTGAGGTGGCCAAAAGAAGGCTTAATAACTTATAGTCATATTCATTCCTAAATATATATTGTTCATATATATTTTTCAAACATGGCAGTTGCTAAATTACAAGGCAGCCTGTTGAGAGTTTTCCAAACACCATGGGAGTTTCTACCTCCAGCAAGAGGCTAAGACACTGAGATATTTTTTTTCTATTGTGGGTTTCACAATTTCTGCAAAATTCCTCTGGCATCTTTTTCTTTTCTGAAGCTGAGTAAACACATAATGAGGACCAAAGGCTAATTGCTCGCAAATATGCTTCTGTTATTTTATGATCTGCATAGTCTCCCAAATGTGCAAAACTTGCCCAAAGGTCAACATAAGAAACATTTGCCCTGAGAGCACTTTCTCTCTTTTTAAAGATGGACTTTTAGTTATGGATTCAGAAATCTTTCCCACTGCTGTAGTTCTCGCTGTCTGTAAACCAAGGCTCCTTGTGCCTGTGTGGTGCAGGATCTTCACACAGAACGTGAGCAGAGGCCTAGAATGCTAACCTCATGAATTATTTGGTTACAGCATGTAGACTGCAGAATTTTAAAAAGATTGATTGATTATATAAACAGGGACAAAACCTACTGCATCATTGAAAGCAGTCAGTCTGTCTGGAACCTACTGAACTTTCTTATCAGAGACTTTTGCATCAGAAATTGATACATTTATGCATTTTTTTAAAAAAAACATTTCTAAGTTGTGTTAAGGGCCTGCACAATGAAAAATTCAAACTTAATGCCATTTGGAGAATAGGGACCAGGTGAAAGAGCATGTAACTAGAATGCAGTTTGGATTTGTTTTCTCCTGAGCATATAATGAAGTTGTTTAAATGTTTATTTGCTTGCTTGTTACATTTATATCCTGCCTTTCCTCTTATGAGCCAAGGGTGGCACACAGGCTCTTTTTCTCTCCAATTTCTCCTCACAACAGTCCTGTGAGGTGGGTCAGGATTTGAACCATAGTCCAGCATTTTAAACCACTCCACCATACTCTTCATTCTACCTTATTTTTAAAAAATGGTTTTCTGTCATCTCTGCAGGTGCTCCCCAAAGGCCAGTTCCACAACCCTCCTTCAACACATTTCCTTTTAGATCTAAGCCACCATCTAAACAGAGCCCCTTGCCACCCAGGATTACACCTGATGCATATCCAGAAAGGTTTGTTGAACTGAACTGAAGCTAGTATCTAATGTTCTAAGGCAAGGCTGGGAAATTTCAGTAACCTAGGTGCCCTTGTCCCATCTCCCAGATGGAGGGTGGCAGCCTCCCCAGTACCACTACTACCAACCCTGGCTAGTCCTTGCTGGTTTGTAAAAGAGCATTTTAAGTCCCCAGCCACGCCATGTGATCACGAAAAATTGGCAGCAAGGCTGACCCTCTCCTAACAACACTGCTATATACAGCTAGTGCTCAATAGCATCAGATCTCATTTGGGTGTGCTAATCTTTTCCTTTTCTTTACAGTGCTGCTGCATCAAGTGTATCACTACCACCTCACTTTCAGTCAAGTAGGTATTACAGTAAACACATTATAAACAGTTCTGTAGCATCCATGTTTCCAAGCATGTCTAAATGTTGCATCCTGAAGTCATGAGACTGAACCCCACAACCTAGGGCACCAGATTTGCCACTTCTCATTCCTTGAGATTTCAGATCCAAAGCCTTACCCGCAGAAAATGGACCCCAAAGCCTGAATCCCAGGGCTCGAAGGGCAGACCTAGCAACCCTTGTCCTGCCCCACTGTCCCTACCATGTGGCCCTGCTTCTTCCATGCCTCTTCTACAGTACTTAGATAAGCTGTTTCTGCCAATAGAGTTCTGCTTATCTGCATGGGCATAATTAGGTTCTTTTCTAACCTGGTTTATAAATTTTCATTTATGAACAAGCTTTTCCTAATCTATTCCATACTCTTTGAAGTATTACAAAATTTCAGTTCCACTCCTATATCAACCTTCAAGCAAGGAGGTCATTCCTACTAAACAGCTATTGACAAACCAATGACAAAGAGTGGGCAAATCGGTTCCTTGTAGGCAGGGATTATCTTCGCCTACATATGAACTTTTGAATATGTTTCTCTAATCCAAAAATAAACTTTTCCAACCTCTGAAACCATAAGTGTGACCTGTATGCCCCTCCTTTCCATACCTATGAGATTTTGTGGACTACAGACTTTTTTGTGTTTTGGTTACTAAGCAGTAAAATATAATGCTCATCTAATCCCCACTTAATGTTGTTATACACCACACTGTTAGAATTCCTTAGAATTGGAGTCCTTGTCTGTGTCTTAATATACAACAATAGACAGTGGATTTGCCTTAATTTTAAATTATATTAATATTTCTAAAGGCAGCATCTCCAGAACCTTTTCCAAAGGCCCAGCAGATGGAAGACCACCATTACCGGTACCGAACAGACAGACTGTACAGTATCCCAAAGCTGAGAAGGATGAGATGGAACATTGCCAAATGGCAATCCCTCCAAGTGAACCAAAATTCAGATTCGGGAGTGGGGCTGGCTCCCACAGAGAGGCTATCCAGGTAAAGCAGCCTCCCTGACTTTGGACAGTTGTCTTTGTGTGTTCAGTTTGCTGGGAAAGGGAGCAAACTAGGACTATCTCCCACAATGCCAGTGGTCTGCATTCATTTAAGACTGAATAGAGCTAGGGTCCTTCCCTACAGATTTCATTTATGCTAATGTAAGGAAACACAAATATAGTTATTGGATTGTCATCCCTTTACAGGTTTGACTAAAGTGCTAAAAAGCAGTGAATAAGCTTTTATGTTTTTCCCAAAGCAAATTTTAAAGGGGGAAATTTTAAACAGAGTTGTATTTTATACAGACAGAAAGGATTAATATATGTTTCTACTAGGAATGGTGAAAAAAACTAAACCCTTTCGAATATGCAGCTGTATTAAAACAGAGTACAAGTTCTGTGAGCAGATTAGAACCATATCTGCGTTGAAAAAATCCAGGTTGTACAAAAGTAATCAATAAAGAAGCTTCTGACAGACAAAGAAGAAGCGGCTTTAGATTTATCAACAGAAAGTGAAAAAGACTGATTGGACACCTCTTCAACAAAGTAGCTAATAAATATCATTCCTGCTTTTCCATCGTCTGTGCAACTTTGCTGTGCAAGTTTCTAGTACCATGTAAGCCTAATCACCAATAGCTCTTTCTTCCTCTTTCTTTTCATTTGGCTCATCTACAATCAGGGCCCTGCAAATCAGAAATGGTATGTTGCTGATATCACCCGGCCAGAAGCAGAAGTTGCCCTTAGGAATATGAACAAGGTGATGTCATCAAATAAATATAAAGCCTACAGTAATAAGAAAACTTGCAAATATTCTTTAAAATGAAAGAGTAATGTGGAAATGTTTAAGCCGAAGTTGCTAAGAAGCCTCCTGTTTAATGGAACATCTTCACAGTTGTAATTATGTTTATTTTAAAAATATTTTAATTTGCTCCTCATCTAGGATGGTACTTACTTAGTAAGAGACAGTTCAAGAAAAACCCTTGAGCAACCTTATGTCCTGATGGTACTTTACAATAACAAAGTATACAACATTCAAATACGTTACAAACAAGAACACAGTGTATACTTCTTGGGAACTGGAATGAATGCAAATGAGGTAAAACCTTTTATCACTCTATTAACTTTTTAAATATCATAATCTGTCCAATAGGCAGGGAGCTGAATAAATACAGTATAAAACTCTCTACATCACCCTTTTTGAACTTTTTCTGCATCTGAGTGCAATATGTAAGTTGCCTCCAGACCTTCTGATTTTCCTTACCCACCAGAACAGGGCAGGGCAATATGTGACCCAGGGTCCATTTTGCACCCCGAAACCCCCAATCATTCCCAATTCTTGTCACATTTAAAACGTTTCTGTAAAACAATCCCTCCCCCACAAAAATATTGATATAGTAAATATGCAGTTCTTAATATTGCTAATTTTTGTAGCTCTGATGATGTTATTTCTGGAATTTGCAACTACTTTTAACACTGTGTACAGGGATGTGGTGGCGCTGCGGGTTAAACCGCAGAAGCCTCTGTGCTGTAAGGTCTGTAGATCTTCAGCTGTAAGATCGAATCCACGTGACGGAGTGAGAGCCCATCGCTTGTCCCAGCTTCCGCCAACCTAGCGATTGAAAAGCATGTAAATGCGAGTTGATAAATAGGGACCACCTCGGTGGGAAGGTAACAGCGTTCCATGTCTAAGTCACACTGGACATGTGACCACGGAAGATTGTCTTCGGACAAACGCTGAGAAAAATTGTCAAGGGAACCTTTACCTTTTATAATACTGTGTAAAATTTCTTGATATTGTTCCCAAAACTCTGATGACAATGGGGACAACCAAGGATGATGATTATTATGATTATGATTAATATTAAATTCAAGACACAGATATTATATAACAGATACAAGTTTTAACCCAAATCCTGAGTATCTGTTAAATATTGGTGTGATATGTATGCTGTTTCTAATATTGCTGGTTTATGCAGCTCTGATAGTGTTATTTTAGATATCTGTTGCTGAAATGTGTTTCATCTCCAAGCTGTTGCATGCCAAGTCATGCAACTTGGCATGTAAAAAGCAAATGCCTATGCTGACGTCTTAACTCACAGCAGTTCATTGTTGAGATTTACATCAATTCAGTTATGTTGGTATAACAAATCAGATTCTGGCAATTACTCTTTAAGGTGCAGCAAGATTCTTAATTGTTTTGCTGCAACAGACCATGGGTATATTTCTGTATGTTATTACTTATTTATTTATTTAAATTTTTACCTCAACCATCTAATGGCCAGACCACTACTCTGGGTGGTTTACTCTAGAGCTAGTCACCCCCATCTGTCTCCCCAAGAGCAATGTGTGCAAAACAATTAGAGATGATCCAATATTATGTTGTTTTAGACTTGCTAACCGAAAGACATTTTGTAAATCACTTAGGAATTCACTTCTGTGGCTGAAATCATTGATCACTTCCAAAGAACACCTCTTCTACTGATAGATGGAAAGGATCGAGGTTCAAGGAAGCAGTGCATGCTAACATATGCTGCTAAATGTCTTTAGAAGAAAGTTTCATGAAGAAGTTCAGGCTCTGTCTTATTTATCTACGGAAAATCAAGCTAGAATAACAACTGATTTATATTTGGTGAACTGTGATAAATTCTGGTTTCTTTTTTTTATATCAGGGTGTACAGTCCATTCTTTGCCTTCAAATATCAAATGTTGCCTACTGTTATTTTTTTTTATTAAGCATCGATTTCATGTGAAATCCATTGTCTGAAATATACATTATACAAACTGAAAGGAACTTTCGAATGTCATCTTACTGCTATTGAACATTTTATTTCAAGTGCAAATGTTTCCTTCTAGAGAAGCACACTGTATAGAATTCCATTATCAAGCTTATACTTTCGGAACGTATACTTTCAAAAGAGAAGAGCTTAATCTATCAGTGTGTTATTGTTGTCAAATACAGTATGGATGCTAATGTCCAATCCTTGTGGAAATATCATATAATCAATAAAGAATAAGTTTTTCTATTATTATTTTTCTACTGCAAATATTAGTTACACAACTAACTGTTCTCTCTCCCCACACATCCCAAATAACCTTCCATTTTTTTGTGGTATGTACCTTTTAAAGTAAACCACTGTTCATAGTGGACTCCCATAGCACAAACAACAGATCAGCAAATGTTCTTATTCTTCTTAATTTATAGAACACCAAACATTCTGCACTAATAATTCATATTTCTTTCGTCCCCTGCATATATGGCATGCTTCAAGTGTAGTTAACATTAAGTGGTTCAGTTTAAAATAAGCCAATTTCAAACTAAGTTTATGACATTAACTTGCTTTAACTTAGCATAATTTATGTTTGCTTTCTTAAACTGATAGTCAACAGGGCATACTGTGGTTAAGTATAAGCAGAAGCAAAATTATCCACCATTTGCCTAACAGCTATGCGGAAGGAAAAGGGTGAATGCACAAGCCTAAGGTTTGCTGTAGCTGGTTGACAAAACATGGTTTAGCGTGACATTCATATGTGGCCAATGAACTATGAAGACCATGAAAGCATAAACTATTTCATGAAAAGTGGCTGTAAGCTAGCTAGGTTCAGCTTAGGCACAGACTGGAGTTGAGCTGGAGTGCAGTTTCTCATATTTCAGGTGATCACCAGGAAATAGATTATACCAGACCTCCTCACAAGTGGTCCAACATGTGATCTATTTTCCCCATGTGATCACACCCAATGTGACTTTTCAAAGATTAACTGTACATATACTTTGCAAAGTTCTCCAAATGAACATTATGGTGAATGTATATCAAAATGTTAGCCAAGTATAACGGTGTTTCCATTTCACTTCCACCAAATTTTACATGTTAATACATTTAGTGACAATATTATTCAATGGATCCTGGAGGCTTGAATTTTCAATTCTTCTTGGTCCTTTTCCTCAGTTTCTCTTGAAACATCAGCTTGTACTGGATGATTAAGGTTCAATATAAGGTCACAAAGCAGCAGTTCAGTTTTTACTGTAAAATAACATTGTTTTGTTAATTTTCTATTCCATCCTTTCATACAGAATGCAGAGCTTTACTTAAAGTCAATAAAACTGTTCATGTTTATTTCTCCAGCAATTTATTGTCTGTATAGTAGGCAGGGATTATCCTCATCATACAAATTAGGATGTGACCACATTGGCCAAAGATGTGGGAAATACTACAAGTTTGAAATGGGTTAATTTGTATTTTCCCTTGTTAATCATATGATGCAAAAGGAAATGGGAATTAGCCCTTGAGCCCCACATGACCATAGTTTTTTCCCTTTCCCATTGGGGCTCCTACTTTTTGAAAGAAAGAAAAAAACCAGATCTATTTGCATTGATTCAGACAGTTCAGTATCACTTGAACTGATGCAGAAAAGAGCGGCAGCTGGGGTGGGACAAAGAACCAGCCTGGGATCTTGACATAGAGATGGAAAAGGGTGGTGGTGGTCGAGAACAACAGCTTGCCTGGCCTTATGTTCCCCTCCTGTCTTTTGTAGTTGGAATGGATATGATGGGGCAAAGTGAGCAAGTTGGACAGGCAAAATATGCTCACGTTGCATGCTCACATTGGCAAATATCTGCCTCCTCCTGGGCTAGATCTTTGCCAATAATACAATCTGCTTTATTTTTTAAAAAACTTGGTGCTAGTGCTGTTCTACTAGGGCACCTTGACCCTAAAAGAGAGAGAAATGGAGAATGACATGAAATATCCATTCTCCCTTGTTTACAGCTTAATAAGTATTTTTTTCTGTAACTGCACCTCCTCTATAGGACTATAGGAGAGCTACATTAATAATCAGTTTCCAGGCACAGTTCAAAGTACTGGTTTTAACCTATAAATCCCTGAACAGCTTAGGTTCAAGATATCTCAAGGTCCACGTCTTCTTTTGTGAGCCTGCATGGGTGTCAGGATCATCAGGGGAGGCCTTTGTCACAGGTGCATTTTGGTGGAGACACAAGAGAGGGCCTTCTCCATCACTGCTCCCAGACTCAGACCCCCTCCCAAGGGAAGCCAGGTTAGCTCCATCTTTGCTGTCTTACCACAAACATGCAAATAACTCACTCTCCAGCCAAGCTTAGAGTCTGACTGAGAGGTGTTTTTTTTAATGAATTACTGTCTGACAGGGTTTTTTTTAACAGATTTGTTGTGCCTTGTTGCTTTTAAATGTGTTTGTAGTATTGATTTTATTTAGCGCTTTTAGTGTAATATTTGTTTAATTCTATTTAATATTTGTATAATTACTGTTTTTAACCACTTTGGGTTCTTTTTAAGGAAAAGGTGAGGTATAAACAAACAAACAAACAAATCTGTTTAGCCAATTTCCTCCTCTGCCTGTGTGGCCAGTTACTTTGAACAGGTCTGGGATACCTCAGACCATCTTCATGTCTTTGCTTTAACTAGGAGATAGCCTAAGCAGGTAAAGGAGTGGCTTGCTGTAATTACATGCTGTCATGGTGCTTCCAATTTATGGCATATAGAATGTTTAAGGAGTGGTTTGCCATTACTATCCTGCAGAATGTTCCCATGGTTGAATAGTGATTTGAACCCAGGTCTCCTGAGTTTATCCACTACAACACACAGGTTTTCAAGAGAGGGCTTACCTATGGTCATGCTGTGAATTTCTAGCAAACATGTCTAAAATGCTTGTAAAAAACAATGCCTGTTATAGATATTAGGTTGTATCCAAAGTACTGTACCCCCAAAGCTCGGGAGAGATTTTCCTTGTGGGGAGAGAGGTTGCTGTAATTCTCAGAGATCCCCAACTCACGTGGGATCAGGAGTTGTAGTCCCCAACAGTTAACTTTTTCAAAAACTGTCAGCCCTTAAGGAAGGCTGCTCAATCAAGGAGAATTCTCCTCCCCATCGCCTTCCCCATTCAATGCATCCTCCGAACACCTCTGCTCATTTACTGGGGAACCCTAAGGAAAGGCCTGTTTGTGTGAGAGGGTTGCGGTACTAAAGTGAAATTGGATGGCAGCAGCCCAGATGTTATTTGGGATAGGCAGGGGGATTCTATGAGTGCAGTCGTAAGGAATTCCTTTTGCACAAGAGGTACAATACATACTTTTTTTACATTACAGTTAAACTTGTGTGCTGACATGTTTAGCCACAACAATGTGGACATTCAGTCACATTTCCTGATGCTTTATTGTTGTCACATTTTAAACCAGGAGAAATGAGCCTCCAGCTCCTGAATATCCTAAATCAGCCCTTCCTGGTTCCCCACCTTACTTTTTAAGGCCATGCCTAGGCTCCTGCACAATTTGGAAAGACAAAAGCTGCACTAAGGGGAGGTGGACTCCTGTGTTACTCACAACTCAGGGAATGTTGTGTTAGTGTTTTAAATGTGTTTCAGCATTGATTTTATTCATTTTTTAATATAATACTTTTTAAATTCTTTTAAAATATTTATTTACTGTTTTTGGCTTTTACATATTGCATTTTTATTGATGCAAGCTTCCTTGGTCCTTTTTAAGGAGAAAGGTGGTTTAAAATACTTTAAATAAATAAATAAATAAACAAGCAGAATTTCCAGTAGCGAAAGCTCCTGGAAGTAGCGGGGATTGTTTTGTTTATACTTTAATTTTTACACCATCAATGTAACATTCATACCTAGAAATATTTTTTTTCTGGAGCAACATCCAGACATCAGAAGGCCACACACGCCTACTTGCTGCTGGAGCTTGGAGAGGCATACTCACCCAACATATGCTTTTTTTCAATAATCCCCTCCCCCAAAAAATTGAAAAGCCCTGTCATGCTTTATCACAGTGGCCAGTCCTTTTCAATTTACAAAAAGGATTTCTGAGACGAAATTTTAAATATTTAAAATGTAGTATAATTTTATTTTCAAAAGCAGCTCTTTTTCAGGTGTGAAGGAGCTGAGGGATGATTGATGTAATCGTTTTCCAAAGGAGAATTACATTTGGTATTAACAAAAAGTTTGTGTCCCCCAAATAATTTATATCTTCAGCATTGGAATGCACACAGGTTGTGACCATCATGCAACAGAGAAAGAAAGGTTTGGCTTTTTTCTTTCTTTTAACCTTTGTGCATATTCAGATATGTATATAGTTATTCCCTTTCTCACACAAATCCATGCATCTATGCATCCACATATTCAGAGACAATTTATCTTCATTGTGATGGTAGTGGCAATACTTATAATTACCTATCAGTTTATTCACCTCAGAGGTCATTTTATCCATACTTTTAATTGCATTGATAACAGTAAGCTGCTGATTATCATCCTGCTTGGCCATCTGGAAAACGAGACACAAAATTAAAATAGTTAAAATTGGTGGCAAGTATCCTGTTCACAGCATAAGCGCAATTGCCTAAACTTTCCCTTCTTCCAGCAAACCCCTGCCATGAAAATAATCCTCCAACCAATCACACAACCAGTCTCACATCCAGTGAAAAGCTGGGGATGCAACAGGGGTCTTGCCAGAGCATGAGGAATGCTAATGCAACCACCCGAGTAATGCAATATGATACGAGCCACTAACTTTATTCGTTGTCTAGTCATTTAGTCGTGTCCGACTCTTCGTGACCCCATGGACCAGAGCACGCAAGGCCCTCCTATCTTCCACTGCCTCCAGTAGTTGTGTCAAATTCATCTTGGTTGCTTCAATGACACTGTCCAACCATCTCATCCTCTGTCGTCGCCTTCTCCTCTTGCTGTCACACTTTCCCAGCATCAAGGACTTTTCCAAGGAGTCGTCTCATGAGATGGCCAAAGTACTGGAGCCTCGGCTTCAGGATCTGTCCTTCCAGTGAGCACTCTGGTTTGATTTCTTTTAGAATTGAAAGGTTTGTTCTCCTTGCAGTCCAGGGGACTCTCAAGAGCCTCCTCCAGCACCACAATTCAAAGGCATCAATTCTTCGGCAGTCTTCTTCTTTCTTTATGGTCCAGCTCTCACTTCCATACATCACTACAGAAAAAAACATAGCTTTGACTATTCGGACTTTTGTTGGCAAGGTGATGTCTCTGCTTTTTAAGATGCTGTCAAGGTTTGTCATCACTTTCCTCCCAAGAAGCAGGAGTCTTTTAATTTTGTGGCTGCTGTCTCCATCTGCAGTGATCATAGAGCCCAAGAAAGTAAAATCTGTCACTGCCTCCATATCTTCCCCTTCTATTTCCCAGGAGGTGATGGGACCAGTGGCCATGATCTTAGTTTTTTTGATGTTGAGTTTCAGACCGTTTTTTGCGCTCTCCTCTTTCACCCTCGTTGGACAGCCACTTTGCTTTCTTGCATTTCCTTTTCTTGGGGATGGTTTTTGTTGCTGCCTCCTGGACAATGTTACGAGCCTCTATCCAAAGTTCTTCAGGCACTCTGTCCACCAAATCTAGTTCCTTAAATCTGTTCTTTACTTCCACTGTGTATTCATAAGGAATTTGATTTAGATTATACCTGAGTAGCCCAGTGGTTTTTCCTACTCTCTTCAGTCTAAGCTTGAATTTTGCTATGAGAAACTGATGATCAGAGCCGCAGTCAGCTCCAGGTCTTGTTTTGCTGACTGTATAGAGCTTCTCCATCTTTGGCTGCAGAGAATATAATCAATCTGATTTCGATATTGCCTATCTGGTGATTTCCATGTATAGAGTCGCCTCTTGTGTTGTTGGAAAAGAGTGTTTGTGATGACCAGCTTGTTCTCTTGACAAAACTCTATTAGCCTTTGCCCTGCTTCGTTCTGAACCTCAAGGCCAAACTTCCCTGTTGTTCCTTTTATCTCTTGACTCCCTACTTTAGCATTCCAGTCCCCTAGAATGAGAAGAACATCTTTCTTTGGTGTCAGTTCTAGAAGGTGTTGTAAATCTTTACAAAATTGTTCAATTTCAGTCTCCTCAGCAATGGTGGTTGGTACATAAACTCGGATTATTGTGATGTTGAAAGGTTCCACCATTGTGCAGCAACCAGATGACATGACTGTATTTGAATAAATTGTTGTACATGAAAAAGATAAAACATCGCCTGAAAATAAGCCCTACTGCATTTTTGGAGCAAAAATTAATATAAGGCCCTGTCTTATTTTGGGGGAAACACAGTAACACTGCACGTTTTTACTGTATAGGTAAGGATGTTACTATATGGTCGTTGGACCCTTATAAAACCCATGGGTGGGCTGCAGGGGCTCTATGAACCAGTCAGTAAGAGTAAAAAGATTAAAAATTGCATGCCAAAGTTTATCTCTTTGTGTTTATGTGCATGTTTCTGATGAGGAGTCCATAGCTTTCACTGGATTCTCAAAGGGACCAATAACCCAACAAAGGCAGAGCTTTAGCTAAGGTGATGGGGCCTTTGACCCAAACTGCCAACACTTAGAGAGGCCAAAGATGTGCCGGTGGAAGGCACAGATCTGCCTGCCCCAAGTGTGTACACAGCCTCCAACCACTCCTTCTCAGGCGGAAAGGAGAAATACAAAACAGGCTGCCACTTGCTGCGAGCCAGGCATTCTTCCCCATTCCTCTATACTCTCTCTGCATATTTCAATCTCACATGAATCAGGGAAAGCTCTATGTGGCAAAGTGGCTAATTACAGCTTTGGGGAAAAAAAAGATTAAGAACCACTGCTGTATACCATTGCATGGGGTGAAAGATCATTGAACTCTGTGGGAAGTACTACTGACTGGACATGTTTGGATTGCATTATAAACTCGTTATGGTTTCTTAGACTGTTATGTTAATTTTGAAAATATTTAACCTTACTCTCCACCACAGCCACAGATTAAAAAAAAAATAAAGTACCTCACCACAGAGGCAAAAAACACTGACATGTACAACTGCTTTCAAAATCTTTAGCCACAAGAGGGTGCTATTATAATACTATAATAATATTGGCATTTAATGAAGTCCTAACCTGCTGAGCCCTGATATTTCATATTTCTTATTACCTCATACCCAAAACTTTAAGAATTAGTCCAGTATGTTTTCCTAAGGAATCAAAAGTAAACTATTTTGTCATTAAGGAAGGAAACATTTGAAAAGTAGGAAACATTTGGTAAATATTAATGTTTTCACAATACATTTTAAAATGTAAAACATTAATTCCAGAATAATTCACATAATGGAAACTGCATTTATTGACTATTAATATAGTTTGTTATAAGAGAGATATACAGAAACCCTGTCCTCTTATACATAAGGGGGGGAGCACAATATTAATATGAATATGTGCGTGTATTTGTGTGTAAGTGCACAGATAGAGGCAAATCTAAAGATATAGATAGAAATAAAGATACAGGTACTGGCAAGTCCCCGGATAACAGGGGATGAATAAATACATCCAGTTTCAAAAACTGGAAAGCAGATCCAAGCAACTACTGACCAAACAGTCTGCCGCTGATACCAGAGAAGTTTCTAGAACAGATAATTAAACAGTTGGTATTTGAGCACATTAAAAATATTTTATTTTATTTATTTAAAATATTTTTACCCCACCGTTCTCCTTAAAAGAGACTCCAAGGTGGCTTACATTATTAAAAGATGATATTTAAATGAAAATAAAAACAGTAAGTATACAAATATTTAAAAATGTTAAAACAAATACATGGAAAATGGTAAACCAAAACAACACCAAAACTACATTCAAAGCAGTAAGACATAACAAGTCATTTAAAAAAACCCTTAGTGGTCAGGCGCTAAGGGAAAGCTTGTCTGAAGAGAAAGATCTTTGCATGAGGAAGGACAACAAAGATGGGACCAGCTTGGCTTCCCGTGGGAGGGAGTTCCAGAGTCTAGGAGCAGTGACAGAGAAGGCCCTCTCTTGTGTCTCCCTACCAAACATGCCTATGATGGTGGTGGGACTGAGAGAAAGGCCTTCTCTGATGATCTTAATGCCCCAGCAGACTCATAGAATATTGTGATTTTTAAGACTCAGGAGGGGTTTCTCAAAGCAAGTTATGCCAGGCCAATCCTATAATCCCCCTCCTTTCTTCTTCCTTTTCTCACAAGCTTGGTAAACAAGGAGAATGCTGGGAATATAATGTATCTTGATTCAGGAAAGCCTCTGCCAAGGTCTTTTGTTATGTTCTTTCAGGCAAGCTAGTAAAATGTGAGTTTGGCCAATCCTACAGTTAAGCAGATTTATAGCTGGCTAACAGGCTATACCAAATACTGCTCACCAATGGTTTCTCATCATCCTGAAAAGTGACAGGTGTGGTGCCACATGGTTCTGTCCTAGGTCCACTGTTATTCAACATCTTTATAAATGACTTGGATGAGGAGCAAATGCTCATCAGATTTGCAGATGACACCAAACTGAGAGTCCTAGCTAACATTTCAGAAGACATTCAAGATGATCTACAGACTGGAGAACTAAAAAAACTAATTATATGAGATCTGACAGGGAAAAACAAATATAAGGTCTACATGCAGCCGGGGGGGGGGGAAGGAACAGATCCACAAATATAAGATATGTAACAACTGTAGTCGTATGTGTAAAAATGATCAACATGAGGCAATACTGAGATGCAGTGGCAAAAGAAAACACAAAGGCAATACTGGGTGCCTCAACAGAAGTATATTGCTCAGACCAAGAGAAGTTATAGCATCACTCCATTCTGCTTTAGTCAAGCCTTACCTGCAATACTACCAGGGACGTGGTGGCGCTGCGGGCTAAACTGCAGAAGCCTGTGCTGCAGGGTCAGAAGACCAGCAGTTGTAAGATCGAATCCACGCAATGGAGTGAGCGCCTGTCACTTGTCCCAGCTCCCGCCAACCTAGCGGTTCGAAAGCATGCAAATGCAAGTAGATAAATAGGGGCCACCTCGGTGGGAAGGTAACAGCGTTCTGTGTCTAAGTCGCACTGGCCATGTGACCACGGAAGATTGTCTTCGGACAAAACGCTGGCTCTATGGCTTGGAAATGGGGATGAGCACCGCCCCCTAGAGTCGAACACGACTGGACAAAAATTGTCAAGGGGAACCTTTACCTTTACCTTACCTGCAATACTATGTCCAGTTCTGGGTACCATAATTTAAGAAGGATATTAACAGATTGGAGTGTGCCCAGAGGAGAATGATCAGGATGGTAAATCATCTGTTTTTAGCCTGAGAGGCGACATGATCATCATTTGTCATGTAGAAGATGGAACAAATTGTTCTGTATTGCTTGAGAGGACTTAAAGTGGTGGATTCAAATGACAAGAAAGGAAATTTCACCGAAAAATTAGGAAGAATTTTTTGTTGGTAAAAACTGTTTGACAGTGGAGCGGAATACCTGAGAATGATGGCCTCTCCTTCACTGGAGGTTTTTAAACAGAAATTACATATGTCATGGATGCTTTAGGATCAAATTTCCTTCCAGAGGTTGGTCATGAAGATCCTTGATGATCCTTTCCAGCTCTGGAATTCCACAGTTCTATAATTCTAGGAAGACTTAAAGGAACAAACTAAGGTCAAAGCTGGAAAATATAAGGGCTCTGACCTTTGAGTATTTAGACACAAAAACCTTACAGGTATCCTATCTATCTTAGGAACCTCATGGCACAGTGGTTAAACTGCTGTACTGCAGCCAAAACTGTACTCACGACCTGGGGTTCAATCCCAGGTAGCCAGCTCAAGGTTGACTCAGCCTCCCATCCTTCCAAGGTCGATAAAATGAGTAGTACCCAGCTGGAGGGGAGGGCAATGTGTAGCCTGAATAATTAACTTGTAAACCTCCCAGAGAGTGCTTTAAGTGCTATGGGATGGTATATAAGCAGCACACTTTGCTTTTTTGCTTTACTTATAGGAAACTCTCTCTTTTTAGGGTGCACAATACCAGCTGTTGTTCATGGCTAGAGTGCAGAAGGTATGCAAATATGGAAATGAAGCTGAAGAGGAGATGTCTCCCAGTGTGAACCATCTTATTAACAAAACTGAGACCATTCTCTCTATATATTTATATATTGTTAGCATGGAAAAATGATTATAAACAACCCATTTCAAAAACTCCAGAAGATAACAGATGGTTTTATGCAATCTCCCAGTAGAACTGGGTGCCATTCTGGATCTAGAAGATGGATTAGATTCTGAATTAAAAGGTTTGAATGCATGGGAGACCACCATGGAGGGGAAGACACTAAGAGTCACGGACACTGATGGTAAAATAAAGCCATTGTTAAGAACCGAGACTTGAGCTTTGCACTGAATTCTTGTCAGAAGAGGGAACTGTAGGAAGGCATATAGTAACCCTCTTGTCCTGGAATAGCAACACATCTTATTGAAATTGAACAAATATTTTACTAGACAACTCAGACAATGCACTGGAGGTTCATCTAGTCCCTCTTCAATTTCTGTTGAAATTAAAATTGGATTAAATGGTTAGTGAAATGTAATTTAACATCAATCCCTTGTATGTGAAGGTGAGAGACACATATCTGTGGAGCTTCTGGAGAAAGGGAACATGACTTTAGCTTTCTGTGTGATTGACAGACATTAGAGTTCCCTTGCAGGTGAATATCCACTATTACATTGATTTTCCTTGCTTTTACAAATATTTGTAATTTTTTTACTGGAGTGTATATGTCAGAACTGACGTACAACCAATCTAAAAGAACTTTCAAAGTAAGTGAGATGCTTAAGGAGTAGTTTACCACTGGCACACACACATCCCCCCCCCCAGTATATTTCCATGGCCAAGCATGGTTTCATACTCAGGTCTCTTGAGTCCAATGAATATCTGCTAGATCATGCTCGACATTTCTTTTACTGGAGAGTACTTCATAAATCACCTGAATTCCAGTAATTGTTCAGTAGCTTGAAATCCACAGTGATGTTGGATTTCTCAAAAGAGCTCAGATAAGTTTTATAATGAACCTGTCATGTGCCAGAATAATTCATTTATCTAGTCCTTCAGCTTTAATCAATATCTTTCCTGGAGACTTGGAAGTCACCCCATCTGTCTATAAAAAAAAGTTTTTCTAACTAAGCAAAAACTCTGATCCCATATCAGTATAACCAGACACTTGGTATCCTGTACATGTCTGTGAAGTGTCTATAATCCCTATGCTTAAACTTTTAGTTAAAGGCATATTAGGATCTTGAAAATTTCGAAGTCTTCAAGAAAGTTATTGATAAAAGCTCAAAGGCTAGATACATGAATTATTCCTGCACATGACAGGTTCAAGATAAAACATCTCTGAGCTCTCCTGAGAAATCCTACATCACCATGGATTTCAAGCTACTGAACAATTACCTGCATCCAATTACCTGCTTGTCAGCCTTCCTGAGCTATTTAGGCTTCTGCTTGTCCTCTGATTCTGAAAACAAATACAGAACTTTATTTCTTTCATGCTTACATCCTGGATAGGATACCAAGCTGAAGGCAAAAAAAAAGTTTAATGTTTGAGCTTCCATCTACCAGCAAATGTAAAATAAGTCTTTAGTCATTTGTATCAACCCTATAATGAAGTCATTTATATTGGAGTGTATATTACAGGAGTTCCTTGGATCAAAGGCTTAAAACCCTGATAATAAAGAAAGAAGTGAAGACTAGGGCGTCACCAGCTTAGGCCGTTCTTTTCGTCTAAAACTGTGCAGCTCAAAGTGTGGTCCACAGAATAAACATAACCATAAAGGCCGCTAGTGTGGCTGCCAAAGATCTCTGAGGAAAAAAAAAAATAACCCCAGTTCAAAAAATTCTGCCTCCAAATCCCCTCCCCTCCATATGGAAACAGGCTTTAAAAAAACAACTAGGATGTATATTAAAAAAAAGAAAGAAACCAGAAATTATATACTGATCACTTCCTGTTTTGGCCCTTACTGGCAAGCAGGCCTAGGGAAAGCTAGAAATTACATACAAATTACAACCCCCACTCCACCTGTTAAAGCAGCCACTTTGGAGGCCAATGTGTGTGTGTGGGGGGGTGTCAGGAGGTTAGAAATATGCAACTACCATGTTTCCCCGAAAATAAGAGGGTCTTATATTAATTTTTGCTCCAAAAACTGCATTAGGGCTTATTTTCAGGGGATTTTTAAAAAAATGTAACAATCTACATTTATTCGAATACAATCATGTCATCTTCCTCTGGTTGCTGCACAAGGGTGGAGGGCGTGTTTTCCCTTAACTGGGGATTATTTTGGGAGTAAGGCTTACATTACCAGCCTCCTGAAAAATCATACTAGGGCTTATTTTCAGGTTAGGTCTTATTTTTGGGTAGACAGGGTAGTCCCTGAATTCTCAGGTGGTGCCTCTTTCTCTGACCTGCTCATGGACACATAGACATTTACTTACCTATGTTTAAGTCACACCTAGCTGAGACAGTTCAAAGGCTTTACTCTCGCCCTTGGAAATGTTTATTTGGGCTTCTGGGCTTGCAAGAGAGAAGCAGAAATGAACTGTTCCTCATATTTCAATGCCTTCTGAGTCAGGGGGAAAAGATAGGAAGTCCCCTAGCTGAAGGAGAATACCCTCTAACCAGACACTTTATCACTTCTATCTCTGAGTGAAAAAGCTGTATACAACTCTCCACCAAAATAAAATAAAATACAATCCCAAACTCTAGTTATTTTAGCAGACAAATTACCTTTCCAAGCTACCGTGGGAAAAGTGTATTGGAAATATACTGTCTGGCAGTAGATTTCTTCTTGCTTCAGCCACTAGAAAAGTGGGAGGAGATCTGGCACCCTTGATATCACAAGGCACAGCTGCCTCAGCTTGTATTAGCACAGGGTTATGTTACATAGGCAGGTTTACACACATGCATTTAGGTGGGCACGAGGATGTTCCTTCAATTAGTCACTCTCCCTGGGTCTCCCTGGACGTTCCCCAGATTTTGCTAATCACAATCTGACTCTGCTGTGAAGTATGTGAGGCCCACTGTGCACTGTTTACATACAGTATTGCTCCAGACTGAATGTATCCACAGTCCTTTATCTTAATCTGTGATACTCAGGACAGTGTGAAGGAGGACTCATGGTTAACCTCTGGCAGACCTTAGTTTTATGCTACCCTTCTGGGCTACTGAATCATTCTTCCAAATCTTACTAGAGCAAACATTTAGAACAGCAGAGTTATAAGGCATCTAAAGATCATCAAGGCCAGCCCATCAAGGAGGTACAGTGAGGAAATGAACTTCCAGCTCCACATCTAGATGTTTAAACCACTGAGCAGTTCATTCAACAAGAAAACAAAACAAATAAACAAAAAAACAAACAAAATGCACCTGTTTGGCCCCAAGGACTTCATGTGATCTGGCTTAGTAACTGCGGCCATACATATCACACATACACACAA